TAAAGTAGTCCCTTCAGCTATCTATAATCTACACAATTGCCAACATTTCTGGAGGTCTTGGAAGTGAGCAGAGAAAGCTTCAAGTGTAATGCTTGTTAGCTCATTTGTCACAGTCCATTGAATGTCTGCGATATCTTGATGAAACATCCCTTTCAGTTGCCACCCTTTGTCAGAAAAATGTGTTTTTTTCTTCTTTTCGTGAGTGAAAAAGCAACTGACGTTTTGTCAAGATATTACAGACATCCAATGGACTGTGACAAATGAGCTAACAAGCATCACACTTGAACCTTTCTCTGCTTGCTTCCAAGACCTCCAGAAATGTTGGCAATTGTGCAGACTATAGATAGCTAAGGGGACTACTTTGCCAGGAGCTAGGATCATTACTTGGTAATTGCAATTTTCTGTTTTTTACGAGCTTTGACCTGGAACTTTTCTGACAAATAGTGTATACAACACATCACATTGAATTGCAAGCTTTTAACACAAACTTACATGAACATAACTAAAAAGCAAATATAATACAGTAATACCTCGACTTACGTGAACCCAAAGTTACATGATTTTCAAATCTCGTCGATTCCTCTTTTGTTTGAGTGCCATGCAACTCTTGATTACTCACTTCCCCCACACTATTGTTCAGCTTACATGTTCGGACGTGTCGCGCGGAATCTAACGTGCTCTTGGAAAATCCAAGAGCACTGAAAAAAATCTAAAGCTGGCTTGCCTGTGATTTGGAAGTCGAATCATAAAGCTTGGGTGGCAGCTTCTGTTTTGAAAACTGGTTTGGTCATCACTTTATACCTGAAGTCAAATGTCATTGCCAATCTAAACAAATTCCATTTAAAGTGATGTTCATAATCGACAATGCACCAGGTCACCCCCCTACAACTTTAATTAATTTTGACCCACACGTGAAACTTGTACTTTTGCCACCAAATACAACCAGCTTGTTTCAACCGATGGATCAGGGAGTCATCAAAACATTCAAAGCTCATTACACGAGACAATCGTTTGCACATCTGCATGAAGCTATGAGACAAAACAACAAGCTCTCTGTTAAAGACTTTTGGAAACATTTTTTTCTAAATTATTGTTTTCTTTAGTCTCCAGCCCCAAATAAAAATAAATTGTATGTATTTGTATGCGAAATTATACCCCGACTTATGCGAATTCGACTTACGTGGTTATTGCTCAATCCCATCTATCGCGTAAGTTCGGGGTATTACTGTACATTAAAAATTTACACATAAACACAAACTTCTATTTACACACAAACACAACTCTACTACAAATACAACTCAAACCAAAATCAACACACAAAATTTACTATGAACAAGATATAATCACAGACAATTCATCACAACAGATCAGACTAATTGACTGATATGAGATTTGGTTTTAATCACATATCACAGGCATAATGTTCCAAGCAGCCACAACATACAAAATATATACACTGAAAAATTAGTAAATATTTAGAATTCACCATGAAATAAAGTACCTGCAGAGAATGGATACTCATCACATCCATAGTTCTTTTTTATCTTACCACATACATTGCACATAAATTTAGAAACATTAGGATTTCACAATAGCACATCCATCACACCACAGAAAGCTATCTTATTAGATATGTTACAGTCAAGAAATTCTTAAGTGTAAATATATGCATAAGCAGTACATAAAATAATAGCTTGTTCTGTAGTTAGGCCTTGATCTTGGTTGAGTATAGCAGTAGGAAATGATATATAAGCCAAGTAGAATACAATCCATCAAATGCTACTGTAATAATAGTAATAATAATAAAGCAGTCAAAAACAAATTTATAAAGGACAAAATCCCAATAAATAATGTTTGTGTTGAGAGATGATGCTAATCTGAATTTAAAAGTATCAATATTCTTAAATGAATATGTTTTTTTAACAAGTATAATCATAACCAATTTTAAAAATAAACTCAGATTAAAAATAGATAAGATTACAGTAATACCCCAAACTTACGCGATAGGTGGGACCGAGCGGTAACCGCGTAAGTCAAATTCACGTAAGTCGGGGTATAATTTCGCATATAAATACATACAAATAATTTTTAATTGGGGCTGGAGACTAAAGAAAACAATAATTTAGAAAAAAATGTTTAATAAAATCTTAGATAATACATATGTATAACAAATTAGGCCTATATTATTTTACAATTTTTCACATTTACTTGATTATTACATCATAATTTTAACATTGTTTCCATCTCAGCGATAATACTGTGACGTTTACGAATGATGCTTGAATTTAAAGATTGAGCATTTTTCACAGCTTCGAGAATTTTTTCTTTGCCTTTTATAATTGTTCTGACCGACAATTCCGGTAGATCAAACTTCTTTGCCAATTCACAAATTTTCATTTTTGTATCGAAGTCTTTAATAATGGGTACGTTCGTAAAGTCAAACGAGTTAAACGCGTTAGTAACGAATCGTTCGAAAAGTCTAACGAAATAGGAATAACGATGACGTCATTCTCGTTTAACTCGTTCGACTTTACGAACATACCCAATGTTAACTTTACATTCCAAAGATAAAGTTTTTCTTTTCTTGTTTGATGCAGAAGAATTAGTTCTACTTCGTTTGGATGACATAGTAGAGTCTCTCGAGTCTCCGTAGATATAACAAACACAGAAATAAATAACACAAAATAAATTGTAGCTATGTGTGGATTCCGCGCGACACATCCGAACATGTAAGCTGAACAATAGTGTGGGGGGAGTGAGTAATCAAGGGTTGCGTGGCGCTCAAACATAAGACGAATCGACGAGATTTGAAAATTGCATAACTCCAGGTTCGCGTAAGTCGGGGCAGCGTGAGTCGGGGTATTACAGTACACGTTTTTCAACAAATCTATAATTTTTATAATTTATTGTATTATTTTTAATGCCAAATTTATATTCATAATAAATAAAAACAATACATAAAATAATATCCTCTTTGCAAAACATTTGTTATATTGCAGAAACATCTAAAAGCTTAAAAAAATGAATCTTTAAGTAAAAGTTTAGTATATGAAATGCTGAATTGTTTTTCTAGTACAGGGCTTCTTAAACTATGGGTCGCAACCCCATTTGGGGTCGTTTAGCGAAATCCTGGGGTCGTGAGATTTTAATGCAAAATATTGAAAATAATTTGTGAGAGTTTGAAAATGGCACGCTTTGTGTCATAGGTTTCGTGAGTTGCGCTTTGTGTCACTTCTGGTGCAGCGAGACAACGATTCAGCAACACTGTAGTGTGTACTAGTATAGTGTTGTCGCTTTTCAGTGTATTCAGTTATCTCTGTTCCATTGTAACACAAGAGTGAACTGTGATAGTACACCATTATTGTTTTTGCAAATTTGTATATATCAGGGCTGTGAAGTCGTGTAAAAATCTACTGACTCCAACTCCGACTCTTCCTTACCATCCGACTCCGACTAGGGGCAGACTTGTTACTGAAAGAGACCCGGAAATTCTAATGTCATCATATGACCTCAGAATAAAAGGTTCAATAAATAGAGTTCTAATAAAGATAGAACGCAGAAACTTTTTATTCCAAAGCTATAAGACTCCTCTAAGTAATATATAAACATGTATTTGATAATTTTTGACCGAGTGTAGCGCTCTGTCAAAAAATGATCCCTCCCAAATTTTTACATTTTTGGACTCAGGACACTTTGAAATTTCGAGATATGCAAAAGATTTGAGGTTTTTTTCTATATGTGTGGATGTTAAACTGTGTGGGGGCATAATTTTGTTCACTCTGTTTGAAGCCTAATAATTTCTGTGGTCGGAGTGGTTAGAATTGGAATCAGATGGTTTAACACAGGAGTTAGTTATTAAGCGTCAGAGTAGTGGAACTAAATCATGTCCCCATACATATTCTAACATTGTAGGCGAGAATATCTTAACGGGTTTTACTGTACTATTATAAAATGACAAAAAAACTTACTTTGAGGGTAGAGACAAGTTTTACTTTTTATTTTTTAAATTTTGAATGCTAGTAACGAGTAAAATATTCATTAAGACATATGACACATGACCCCTTTTATGTCTTCACCCTGTCAACCTTTAATTAAGAACCAAAATTTAATAGTATTAATGCTCCTTTATATGCAAGCTACAGTGCCACATTTTGTTTCTTAAACTTTACCCATTCTGAGATATTGTTTAATATCTCAGAACAAAAAATAAAGAAATAATTAAACAAATTAGACTCCAACACACATATGTGTGCAAATTTTTCCTTTTTTATTGCCTTTTTTGGGTTCAGGAGGTCTCCAAACGTGTATATTTGCAAAACAAAGATGGAGGGTCAAATTTGACACGATTTCAATTCTTTTCTGTTATATATACATAACAAGTTGGGAAGTAAAAAGGAGTCAAAGTATTTTTTGACGACTCCGACTCCACAGCCCTGGTATATATCTTTATTTTATGTTTTTTGGGTCGTGAATAAAAAAAGTTTAAGAAGCCCTGTTCTAGTACATAAAAAAAAATTAAAGATACTATTTGTATATCATTTCTTCTTTTATTATTTTAATTATTTTTCACATTATGATTGGCAATCAAAACCTCGTAACTGTATTTCCTAAAATTTTATGGGAGAGCTAGAAAAAAAGTTTCAAGGGAGTATATCACTTGCAACATCTTGGTAGTATGTAGAAATTGACTTAATCTCATTAATGCAAAAATGTGATTTTGATCACAATTGACATATATAAGCATAAATAAGATAATTTTTAATAAATTTCAGAGTTTTTAATTTGAAGATTAATATTGTTACATTCTAATGAAATATTTAAAAAGTTAAATATGTTAATTTTATCTTAATGTTTTGAAAATATCTTTAAGAAATTGTATTGGCAGTTTTTGTTAATTATTTTCTACATGCTTTATATTAAGAATACATTAACAATTATGAAAAGTATTAAAATTTATATTCAATTTATGAAATTAACAGCAATTTTTCAATCTCAAATACCTTCGATGTTTTTTCCTAGCACGATGATGAGCTTCTAAACCTTCAGATAATGTTTTAAGTTTCTCAGGTTCAACTTGTGTGAAAGTATGATCTCCAAACCATTTCACCCATAACTGAAATATAAATTAAGAAAGTAAAATTTTGTGTTATAAAAATTTCAACTAATATTAATTAAATCATATATAATGATCAGGATAATTCATTACATTTTTATAATTATAGTAAATATATTTTCTATTGATTATATAAAAACAGATGTCCTGATGTTCTTGGACATGTGTTTGAAGCGTTCCTATAGTAGCTCCAATATAAGTGATTACAACACCATCTCTCAGAAGTAACAAAGATATGACATATATTCCTGATTTTTCCAACAAGTAAACTTTATCTCTGTAAGTCATGGAGCAATGTTCTATGCAAGATGAAAGCTAAGCAGAAAATTCTAATGCTTGTAACAATCTTCTTGATGTACTCAAACTATCTTGGAGCAGTACTACAACTATGCAAACATTGCAGTTCTAAACACAGCTCACCAGATTCTGCAGCTTCGACTGAAATTCTTCCCAATTCCAAAGATAAACTACAGCCAACTAATCTCTCCCCCCACGGTGGCCATAATGCATACTCAACAGGCCAAACTTCAACACAAATTAGTGTCACAAAAATTGCTGTCCAATGACCCTCACATATGTCTTGAAGCTACCTAAAACAGATAGTGATGGTTTCTGAATAATATGGATCTGTGGTTGTTGATCTCAAAAAACCAAAGTTTGTGATATGTAAGAATGACGACTTCCTTCTGCAATCTGGTTCAATTTTATTAAATGAAGATCTGACACCAATGATTCTAAGAAGAGCATAAAGGGTGATGGCATTACCAGGTGTTCCAGCTTCCTTAATGAGACTGTTCCCTCCTCCCAAATGTGGCATGTCTTAGGCTATTCTTCAAAGTCAAAACACACAAGCCCATAAGGCCTCTACAACTTCTGGTTAACAAATATTCACATCCAACATATTATTTGGAGAAGGCATTTGCTAAAAAAACTTAGCTCCCTTCTGCCTAAATCACATCTTTTGGTTAACTCTGCATTTGAAGCAAGATCAGTTCTCTAACAAATCTGCATTGCTCCCTATGCAAGCATACCACTTTTACAAATTGATGTAGTATCATTGTATCCTTTGGTACTGCAATTCGAGGCTGTTATCCTAGCAAATGTTATGCTTATCAGGAAGGGCCTCTCAGTGCCTTAACTACTAGATTTGAGTGCTATTCATTACTGAGAATAATTAATTACTTTTGTTTTGATGGCAATATCTACATCCAAAAACAAGGCAAACCAATGGGTTCATCTCTCTCTGCTGCACTAGCCAAAATTATGAGGAAAATTGAAACAAAAATCTTTAACTCCCCATTTACTATTCAATATCCTCTCCTTTATCTATAATAAGTAGACATCTTAATTGCTTGGGATAGCTCTGAGAATGAACTATTCACATTCATAGAAATATTGTCCTTGGTCTACTCTTCCATTTCATTCACCTGGAATATGAGATCAAGGCTAAAATTTTGTTCTTGGATCTGCTTATATACAGATCTCCAGAAGAAATTATGTATGTTCTCTGTGTTCCATAAATTCAATGTCTAGCTCCATATAATTTCATAAATGACCTTCCAATCCACCAGTCTATAAAAATAGATCTTTCATCTGTATTATTTATTGTTTTATTTTGCTTTTAATGTTAATAAACAAAATAATTGGTTTATATTGTATAATATTTTCTTTAAAAGGAAAGGAAACAAACATACAGTACATATGAAAAAACAAAAATACAATTATTTTTTATCAGTTTAATTGAGACAGAGCATAATAAATATTTCATCATTAACTAACTATACTCTGTCTCAATTAAGCTGATAGTGATGTCAACACTTACATAAAACAGCAGTTGTATCTTTACAGTGTACTTGTTTTCATACATTAATCATTTTAAAATAAACAAAATATTATTGTGTTGTTTATTTTTAAGAATTATACAATGTAAGGACTCTTGTAAATGAACTTTATGATGGAACTATATCGGGTGCAAGTATATTGGAGTTCTTTGGAAGTTGATACAAAGTATAATAATGATTATAATTGAATTAAAATTCAATTATATAAGCAATAAAGTTTGAACATAGAAGGATAGTTCAACTTTTGTCCAGAATTTCAGTAATGGCAATGGAACTGGGTATGTTACATACGCCCAACTTATGTTTCTTTCTCTAGATATTCTTCTTCCATAAACTGACACTTCTCCCATTATTTTGGCAACAATGCTATGCCTGCAGAATAAAAGTCTCTTGGGGTACATGACAACTGAGCAATAGTCAAGTGGACAACAGAAACTAAATTTTTGCATGCTTAGCAAGCATATGATTGAGTGGATATTTTTTATTTATCTTTTGTAAATATTGATAAAATATATAAAAATATAAATATGGTTGAGACTTATGAAGTATGAGCTTTAATTTATGAATTATAAGTTACAAATTATTTCCAACTTAGGAAAAGGTAATGTTTGGAACATCTTACTGTAGCATCATTAATTACTGTATGTCAGAAGCAGTTAACAAAGCACATCAAAGAAAAGCAGTTCTTCAAAACAAATTCTATCAAAGAACTGCTTTTCTTTCATGTGATTTGTTAACTGTTTCTAGTTCTTTCAAACATCTTGCCGTTAATTTAATATAAGTATTATAAGAACAAATCATTTTCAAAACTAAAATTTAAAATAAAAATTTTGTTTTGAATTTCATGTCTTTATTTGTTTTAATATATGTAACATGTATAAACATGTTTGTTAATTACGAGGGCTGTTCGGAAAGTTTGTGGCCTTGCCTATATGCGGCGCTGCGATCAATTTAATTTTTGGCGGGAATAATTCAGCCATCTTTGCTAAAGATATGATACCAATTTCCGCTTGATTTGTCAAAAAGTTTTGCCACGACAGCTTAGCAGATAGTCAATGTGCACATGCTTTGTCAAAAATGGAGAAGACGGAGACTCGTGCGGTCATAAAATACCTGACGAAAAAAGGGTTGACCCCATCTCAAATCAAAGCTGACATGGATGAAGTTTTAGGAGAGTCTGCTCCTTCGTACACCACTGTGAAAAAATGGACAGCCCTTTTTAAATCTGGCAGAGAAAGTGTGGAAGATGACCCTCGCAGCGGACGGCCGTCAACTGCTGTCACTGAAGAAAACATCGACAAAGTTCACGATTTGGTATTAGCAGATCGCCGTTTGAAAACGCGTGAGATAGCTGAGACAACAGGCATCTCTGTCGACCGAGTGCACCACATCCTAACCGAAGATTTGGGTATGACGAAGGTCTCAGCAAGGTAGGTGCCGCATCTGCTGACCGCCGAGCAAAAATGTGTTTGCACTTTGATGTCAAAGGAGTGTTTGGACTTCTACCAAAGAAGGCAAAGACAGTTCCATCAGCAGGGAAAGTGATGGCCTCGGTTTTTTGGGATGCTAAAGGCATCATCTTTATTGACTACCTAGAAAGAGGAAAGACCATTAATGCTGTCTATTACTGTGAACTTTTGGAAAAACTGAAGAAAGAAATCGAAGAAAAGAGGCCACACTTGAAGAAGAAAAAAGTTCTGTTCCACCACGATAATGCACCTGCACATTCCGCCAGAATCACTGAACAAAAGATAAACGAACTTCGCTTCCAATTAGTTCCACATCCACCGTACTCACCTGATTTGGCCCCCAGTGACTTCCACCTTTTTCCAAACCTAAAAAAATTCTTGGCTGGAAAGAGATTCCACTCAAATGACGAAGTCATCTCTGAAGTGAACGAGTATTTTGCACACCTTGACAAATCGACCTATTGTGATGGCATAAAAAAGCTAGAACATCGCTGGAATAAGTGCATTGCTAACAGAGGAGATTACATTGAAAAATAAAATAAGTTTTAACATTATTTTGTTTGTTTTTCTATGTGAGGCCGCGAACTTTCCGAACAGCCCTCGTACAAAAGCATTCTTTTAACCTGTTTCTTAAAAAATATTATTTAAATTTATCAGATAGTTGATCAATATTAAAAAATGGCAATTTTAATATATAAAACAAAAAATTTTGTATTTTGTCTGTTATTCATCTCTTATTTTGTTGCCCAGATGTCCAGCACCCAGTTAGCAGTAGCCCAGTTGATGGTCTCCTTTTGGCTGTTGTCGGAGCATGGTCCTACAAATATTGGAGGCAATCAATAGGCTTGATAAAAAAAATTCTGGACCACCCAGCCTACAGTCTTGATCCTTTGAAGGAATCTTTAGGAAACAGGAGATTCATCTAGTGTGATAAAATGTCTCTGATTTCACTGGAGAGTTCAAGAGAGTTTATAATGAGTGGCTCCAACACCAGCCAAAGATTTCTACTCTGCATCATTGCCAAAACAATGGGAGAAGTGTCAGTATATGGAGAAGAGTATCTAAAAAAAAAAACAAATTGAGACTATGATACATATTTAGTTCTGTCGCCATTACTAAAATTCCAGACACAAGTTGAACAGCCCTTGTATTACTAATCAAAATGTCAAAATGTAAGATTATATTAAACTATATTTTAGATAATTCAAAATTAACAACAAGTAATTTGGACTAATCGGCTCAAGAGTGCATCCTAACTGCATACTTTTAATCCATATTACTTGATATCATTAACATTTTAATGATTTGATTACTAAATTTACTTACCACTTTTTAGTACTACTACTATATTTTTAGCATTCTCCAACTGAAAATATTTTCACAGAAACTTCATAAAATCCAAGATATAAATAAGAAGGAAAAATATTAGAATTAAAGTCCTATCAAACTGCTACACAAAGTACCAGTGAACACCATGAAAACCATTCATGCTTTTCAGCAAAAGGGTTTATGGAAAAACATTTTTGGCTTATTTTATAAACCTGTCTCAGGTTTCAAACTACAAAATTCTAAAATTACAGATTGGATACTGATTCCATAAATCATTTTGCTGGAAAAGTGTGAAAATGGTTTTCATTTTATATGTTAGATCTTCCAGTTTTAATTTTGGATTTTAACATAAAAACCTTTTAGCAGCAAAAGAAAATCATGTTTAATTAATGCAAACATTTTAAATCATTTTAAAAGACCATCAACAGAAAAAATCAAATACAACTGAAACAGAACACATAAGATGACAACACACAAAACAAAATACAAATTCAAAAAATTCAAGCATAAAAAAATACAAAAACCAAAACAAAATGACAAATTATAAAGATTAGTTTTTCGAGATCAGCATCCACTTTCAGACATTAGAATAAATATACCTAAAGTTGATATTAGAGTTAAATTAAATAATAAATCATACAAATTTTCTAGTTATAGTAAATAAACTATTTTTGTTGATCTGATATTTAAACTAGCATCAAATTAAAAGATTTTTTTTAATTAAAATTATTTTTGAAATAAAATATTAGGAAGAGGGAGCTAAATTTGAACTATATGGAGGATGTTGCAGGACTTCCCAATTCCGCTGGGCAAACCACAGTTTGGTTTGATTTGACGTGTGGAGTATAGTCCAGATTTAGCCCCCTTGGATTTTCATTTATTCAGACCTTTAAAAAAATTTTTGGCGGGGAAATGCTTTGCAGATCAGGAGGAACTGGAAGACACTGTTCTAGACTACTTCAAGCAACTGGACAAGCAACAGTACTGTGAACAAATGTTCAAACTAGTGTCACACTGGGATAAATGTCTCAACGTTTATGGTGATTATGTCATGAAATAAACAAAAGTATGTAGTTTTTGTGGAATGTATTAAATATTTTCTTTAATTATAAATGTTAGTGTAATTTTGACCTGTACCTTTAATATCGAACTCTCCTCGTATTTGAATAAGCATACACCATAAATTATTTGAGCTCATTAGATTTAAATTTTCATTACAAATTATACTTTCAAATAACGTAATTCTGTATTTTGAGACATTACAAATATTAAGTTTATTCAAATTATATTTTTTAATACAATAGTTGAATAAACAATGAAATTGAGTAAAATCAGGTGAGTCAGATTTAAACACTGTAATAAATGGTCAAACTGTTTTAAAACAAATTATAATTAGAAGTGCTGTTTTTTTCTTAATATTTTTTTTGAACTTTTAAAGCTATATTTATAATATTTTGATATTCTATATATATATATATATATATATATATGTTATGGCCAATATCCAAAATCTAGCTAATTTGCAAAATGGCTAGATTTTGGATTTTCTTGCTTTGGGCAAGTCATATGGCCAAAGTCCAAAATGTATGAGAATATTTTGGGTTTTGACTGGTCAATTTGTAACTGACAATCAATGATCAGTTTGAGAATTATCCACAAAAAAGTGGCCAAAACCAGATTAATTTTGCAAAACTGTATCATGTTTCTTTCAATCAATTCTGATAATGAAATATCTTTAAGAGCAGCATCATCAAATCAATCCTTAACCCGAGGCCAGGGATTTTCAAAGTGTTCCTGTGCTACCAAGTGTTCAACAAATCAATAGAACTGCAAATGAGTCAATACATTATGTAATTCAAAGAGTTACAACATTTCAGACTACAGAAACAAGTAATAGTAAAGAGGCTTTCATCCTGGTAAGATAACTTCTTTTTTTCTGTGTTGTGATTTTTCTCTGTAACTAAAGAGATTCATTTCTTAATGATGCAATTTTTCAACTGTAATTGAAGAAAATACATAGAAAAGACTAAAATGTCTTGAATTTTACCATGTTCAATCAGCAGGAGCAACAGTCTTCCATTGCGGAGATGCTGAGGCTACTCCTATGCCAAAATATGCAAGAACAGTTTTAAAAAGTCAGCCATTTTTAAGAAGAAATTATGTGTTTTTTAATTGTTTTGTCTTGTTACTTGTAAACTTTTAAAACTGTTTTTGCATATTTTGGCAGAGGAGTAACCTCTAATAAAAGATCATCTCTGCAATGGAAAACTGTTGTTCCTGCTGATTGGAAATGGTGAAAATCAAGACATTTTAGTCTTTTCTACATATTTTCTTCAATTCATCAGCCATTTTTTAAAAATGCAAGTCAAGACTTTTTATTCTTGATGTGATTTTTCAGCTGTATTTAGAGAGATCTTACCTTTCCAGATGTGTTTTTCTCTACAACTGAAGCCACTTTTTTCCCTTGTGTTTTTTAAACTGTTCACTGAAAGTATTTCTTTTGTGTTTCTTTAACTGGAAAGACATTTTTTTTTCTACTTTGACCAAACAAAAGAAATTTTCAGTGTTCTTGACACAAGTTAGAACTAGTATGATCAATTCCCATAAGTGCATGATTCAACTCTGCAAACTTCTAGCTTTGAACACATTCTCTTGAACAAATCTCGAGTTGGCCATTGATTGTCGGGTGCATTGCAAATTGGCCGGCCATAGTCCAAAGTAGTTGTAAATTCTCATATATTTCAAGTTTTGGTCAGGTCAAATGGCCAAAGCTAGACTAGACTTCAGACATTGGCCGTAACATACATACACATATATATATTATCTTATTCTATACATTTTATACATTTGTGTATATATGTGTGTGGGTGTGTATATATATGTATATACATATATATACACACCCACACACATATATACACAAATGTATAAAATGTATAGAATAAGATAATATATATATGTGTATGTATGTTACGGCCAATGTCTGAAGTCTAGTCTAGCTTTGGCCATTTGACCTGACCAAAACTTGAAATATATGAGAATTTACAACTACTTTGGACTATGGCCGGCCAATTTGCAATGCACCCGACAATCAATGGCCAACTCAAGATTTGTTCAAGAGAATGTGTTCAAAGCTAGAAGTTTGCAGAGTTGAATCATGCACTTATGGGAATTGATCATACTAGTTCTAACTTGTGTCAAGAACACTGAAAATTTCTTTTGTTTGGTCAAAGTAGAAAAAAAAATGTCTTTCCAGTTAAAGAAACACAAAAGAAATACTTTCAGTGAACAGTTTAAAAAACACAAGGGAAAAAAGTGGCTTCAGTTGTAGAGAAAAACACATCTGGAAAGGTAAGATCTCTCTAAATACAGCTGAAAAATCACATCAAGAATAAAAAGTCTTGACTTGCATTTTTAAAAAATGGCTGATGAATTGAAGAAAATATGTAGAAAAGACTAAAATGTCTTGATNGTTATAGCTTTTTTGACAATTTCATTTGACACAGAGTTCAAGATGCAATTGACTTTAATTAATTCATAAATCCTGTTCTGATTGTTTCAAAACTATTTTAATAAAAAAACACATAGAAATAAATATATTTTGTTATGTTTATTGACTTATGCAAAGTGTTATAAAACTATCATATATCTCTAAATTTTTATCTTAGTTTACTTTCTAATTTTAAATTACAACAAGTCCAATTATAATGTTTTATTGAAATTTTTTTTTTACCTTTCCTGCTTCTGTTTTAATGTGATTTCCTTTCACTTCATCTTCTCTTACAAGTTTACCAGGCCATGAGGGAAAACCTCGAATCTGACCCCATACTAAATCTCCTACATTGAACGTTCTTGGTTGTGGAGGAAGAGGTGGAGAACTCGGTGTATCATCTACAAAAACATTGAGAGTTCATTAGTAAATATACAGTACATAAATGTAAAATTAAATATAAAATTTGCATCTGTATCATAAAAAAACAAATATGAATTAGAAAATTTGATCAAATATTCTTTTTTCTATAAATTCAAAACTATAATAAATAAATTAATGTAATAATTAAAAGCATCTTATTGATGTATTTTCTTTATTTTATGTAAGGATTTTAATAATACTAACAATCAATATTTAGGAATTTTTCACTATTTTAATAAAAGCAATTTTAATAAACTTCAAATTAGAATATCAAAAGTACTCTTATGAAATATATTGTTAAGTATTAAATATATTAAAAATAGTAAATGGGCTTCTACTACTGTGGTCATTTGACAAGTCAGATGAGGCCACAAAATAAAGAAAGAAAAAAAAAAATGTTGGAATAGTGACCATGCTTGTGACACAATTTGATTTTGAAACTTTCCTGTGTTACTGTTAGAATTAGCTATTGCAAATTTTTTTGTTCTTAGTATTAATCTATTATTTTTTAAAAATTAATCTTAGTTATTTTAAAATAAAGTGTTTACATTTAAACTTTGTCACACTTTTCCATGACACAATACAAAACTGAATAATTAAGAGAGAAAATTAAATTTTTTATACAAAATGAATATATTTATAATAAGATTAGCCAACACAGAATCAGTAAAATCTATAAACTGAAAATGCACAGTACTAAATATTTTTTTCCAATTTGAACAGGTTTTAGTAATTTTTTTTTAAATCTTTAAATTATACCAGCTAAATGTCACATAGTTATGCTCATTTTTAAATAGTAAAATCACTTTTATTACAAAATTTCATCCAAATTAATCTAAATGATTCCAAATAAAGTAGCTGATTGCAAGAAATCAAGAATTATTCAATTCTAAAAAGCTCTCAATGTTAAAAATATTACTTTAGATTAATACAATATCTGTCAAACAAGTTTTATATCTGATGTCTTTGCAAAAAATTTTTCAATAATTATTAACTCATTTTTGAAACATTAATAATTAAACAATAATTTCAAGTTTAATATTCCAATAAACATCATCCTTTACAGCAATAAGATATAGTCAATCAAATTTATTATTCCATTACTGAAGATTCCTGATGATCTATAAATCAGGCTGAAAAATTTAAATCCAAATACAGTAGAACCTCGAAAACTCGGCTCTCGATAACCCGGCACTCCGGATAACTTGGCCATACCCTGGCAGGGCAAAAAAATTCTTAGTTAATTATAGACAGCTTTATAAAAGTATAAAAGCTCTCATAAAGTATTTTTCTGAGGTCTGTCTTATCAGGTAAATTACTGTACACAGTGTATTCATTAATTTTCATTTTCATGTTGTAAAGGCTCTATGCCTTCATAAAGTACGTACTTTTCCTTTGTTTAAGGGTATTTGGGCAGTTTATTCTCTGTTGTATTCTCCAGCAAACAATACATATAAGTACAGTACACTATTTTCTGAGGAACACGCATACTTATCCTTTTTTAACCCCATTCCCGATAACCCGGCATTTTCACAAACTCGGCCACCCTTCGGTCCACATTAGGCAGAGTTTTCGAGGTTCTACTGTATCTTTTTTGCTGTGTAAAGGTGTGTTCATTTGATTATTTTTTGAATAGCATTACAGTTGATTAATTTCAAGTTTAGTTTGTAAAAATCTGTTGATTTGTTTTTGCACTTGTACAACATTGAAAATATTCTATAAGTTTGTGCATTGCATTGTCAGAGGTGGTTAGTTTGAATTTATGTGAAGCTTGTATAATTTTTGCCTAATAGTTAATACTGCAGAAATGAAAAATTCATTTAAACTTAAAAATTCAAATAATATGTATGAATGTCTTCCTAGAAATAATCTTAGGAAGTATGTATTACAAGCCATTTTACATAGAGAAACATAATTTAGAAGTACACAATGAACAAAAATACAATACACTGTTTTTTTATGCAGGTTTGAAATTTTAATCTCAGAAAAGCAATAGAAAGATTTATAAATCATATTTTATAATGTATTATGATAATTATAAAATGAGTTTTCAGTGGCTTAATTTGAGGAAAACTGATCAATTTCAAGATAACAAATAACTTCTAGATTTGCATTTGAATATTGTAACAATCAACAATCACTAAATGCTGGCTATTAACACTTAATAGTCTTAAGTGTTCTACTCTCTCAATAACCAAAAACCAGCAAACCTTTTCTTCCACTTTAAATGAACAACATCAGGTTATTTTGTTCATTCTTGAAACTGCTAGAGTTTGAACTTGTAGATTCAAAAAATATGGCCACTTGTTGATCGAAGAAGTCAAAATTGTGACCTTATTTTGCATGATGAGGATAAGTTGTGTGGGATGGTGGTGGTGTAGACAAAACCTCATGCTGGTGGAAAAGTGCAACTATCATTAAAGCATTCTCTATGCCCTACCGTATTCTCCCTCTCCAGGAACGCCAAAAACCCTCCCAACTGACAACACTTATCAGAGATGTATTCCATTCCATTCAGAGACAATACATGCAATCAATTACCTTAGTATATGGGGGCCACTAGCCAACATACCACCTGTTTGAAAGAACATCATATGGATATAAATAAGGGTTACATCTCTACAGCCTTGGCAGCATACACATGCAATTCCGACATCATGGTACATTTTGACCACACAAAAATTTCCCATCACACAAAAAATAGAGCACAACTCTAATATCTGGAGCTCATGGAGATATACACAGCACAATATCTTCCAACCTGATTACCAGTGTTATGAACAATCTAGTACACACTGGTTGAACCTTTATCTCCGGTACTGCTTAAATTTTGGAAAACAAACGTTTTTGGCCTTACCCAAGGTCTGCTTCATGTTAAATGAAAACTCTAAAAACAGCAACATGCTTTCATATGCCTGGTGCTACATATGCAAAGAGCAAAAAATTGCTGACGCTCTAAAACACATGCATATGTTCGAATTTATTTTAAAACTCAATGTTTGAAATTGTTTCAAATATTGTTCTAATAAAATAAAATAAAAATATTATTCTAAGATTGGAATACAATTTTCATTTAACTGGAGATAAAGGTTCAACCAGTTTGCACGAGAATATACACAGCCATTAACTTTAATGATGCTGATACTTTTCCACAAATCTGGAGGATTTGCTATACCACCACCATTCCATGACTTATCCTTAGCATCCACGAGAAGACTATGATTAAGACACTGCCAATCAATAAGCAGCCACATTTTTTGAATCTATATGTACAATCTTTAAACTTAAGCAGTTCCAAGACTGAGCATAGCCTGATGATATCCATTTAAGATGGAAAAAATATCTGAATTTATGAGTTATTTTGCTGGTTTTTGGTTATTGAGAGTTTAGTCTAAGATATATTGTAAACTGAATAATGAGTAATTAGGAAATTACTATTCATTGATGGATGGGACTTATTCAAACACTGTGTGAAATATACAGACTGGCATGCCAACCCTTATGATTATAAAGGGACTATAGTCCTACTGGCACACAGTGTAAGATTTTGCAACATTATATTAAGAATGGAACAATTTAATTGTAATCAAAATATATTTACAATAATTAGAATAAATCTTAAAACATAAAAGAAACATAATTTTATACATTACTATCACACAACTATTTCTTTTGTCATCCNGTCCTACTGGCACACAGTGTAAGATTTTGCAACATTATATTAAGAATGGAACAATTTAATTGTAATCAAAATATATTTACAATAATTAGAATAAATCTTAAAACATAAAAGAAACATAATTTAATACATTACTATCACACAACTATTTCTTTTGCCATCCACTATCCGAGGCTGTATTTGCGTTACGTTGACGACATCCTCATAGCGTGGGAAGACACAGATGAGACGTTCCTCATCTTTATGCAGCAACTGTCAAGCATATATCCTTCCATCAATTTCTCTTGGGAAAAAGAAAGCGATGCGGCAATAACGTTCTTAGACCTGCATATAAGTAAGTCTTCGGAAGGACTACAATTCTCGGTTCATCACAAGTCCAGCATAGCTCCACATATTATACCAGCAGAAACTATTTCTATTGTCAGAATCAGTAGTCTTACAAAAAAAGAGAATCACTATCATTTTCTCATCTGTTTGGATATTTGGAGCCTGCATTAGCTTCATTAATTCAAGATTAGTAACTACTCTTGTATGCTTTTCTTGTTTTCTTCTTGTAGATGTAATTACTAGGTCTGATGTTATCAAAAAATTACATAGAAAAACTTTATTTACTTGGATTCTTGACACTTTTCTTGCATGTTCTGGAAATTCTGGGCAGAAATCCTTGCATGCAAGGAATTCTGGAAACTGTATCTAAAATACAGTTTCCAGAATTCCTTATGGCCAGACTCCTGTGCTTCTTCAGACATCTGTCCAATTGGAAGCAAAAAGTTTTGTATTACTTTTGGACCATCTTGTGGAAAGTAACAGGCATTATACAAATTTCAGTCTCGTCACAATACTCTTTAAAGGCAGATATATTTATCTCGTACCACAAGTCAAAGTGCACAATATTACATGAAATTGTTCAATTAATGATAAACCCATTATATTAGAAGCCACGTCAGCATTTTAAAAACATGTTCTAAACTGTTGCCATCATTAATATTTCCTCCTCCTTGCTTCGAACAATAGTCATGTTTCTGACTTAAATCTGTCTATTATGAATTTCTTCCTAGCCGCAACATTTTGTTTTTCTTCAGTGTAGGACACTGTCATTTCTGTACATCCAATCTATAACAAATATGTAAAACACATTCCATCAATCTTATTTGCACATGTAGCGTAGATTAACCCCAAGAAAATGTATGAACAACACTATTACATCATCAAACCATTTTTAAATTTTTTGACGTTGCTTGGCAAATGTAATATTTTTGGGTTTCCCTATATCATCATCATCATCATATTGTTTTTCAA